TTTTTTTTTTTTTTTTCTCCCTCTACCATCTTTCCTCCGTTGAATCTGACGCACGCCAGAAAAACCCAACGCGAAATTTACGTTCCTCGTATATATATATGTATATACGTGTACAACAACGAGCGTGCACCGCGCGTTTCGAATTTAATCGAGAACCTGTTATCGACGCGTATGCGTGCGTACACGAGTACGTCGTGACACAGTGACACGGTGCGTGAGGTTTAGGCGGAGAAGGAGAGTTGTCGCTGGCAGCGAAAGGCGTCGCGAGAAAGAGCGGGAAACGGCTCGACTGCTAGACGGATTTTTAAATCAGACGATCGATACGGAGTGGAAACTGGGGAACAATCGATGCGGATAATAAGATCTAATGAGAGAGGCAGCGAGTGTTGAAGCTGGTTACGAAACGCGTAGAAGGAGACGTGGCACGAAATGAACCGGGTATATCCTCGTACGATCGATATACTATAGCACCACACAGTAAATAACAAGCAGTTCGTATACATCCAGCGCGCGCGAACCTAACCTAGCAAGCTACCTATTCCCTTTTCTGAGCTTCGTACCTTCGTAAGACACGGTGCGAAGAAGTTGTCCAATAATTTGCGACTGGCTCGTAGCAAGAACGCAGACGTGAGAGTAACATTCCGTACACGAGGACAACGGAGAAGCATCCGGGATGTCAGAGTGAAAAGCTTGGAGCTGTTCAGGAAGCAATTTCCCTCGTACTCTACGCCATCTTGATCCGTCGATAAATAGCGATGACAGGTGGTGAATGCGATTGTTGATCGACGACCGCGCGCGCGATTCGATCTCTCGTAATCGAACGCTCGACGTGTCCAGTCGGTGCGTGCGCGCGTGCAACGTTCGTGAGAGAATAACCTCTGGAAAATTCGTCTCCACGAGACGACACGGTCTTTACGGAGGACAGAAAACGACCAAGTGGCGAATGAAGTAGCGAAAGAGAGAGAGAGAGAGAGAGAAAGAGAGAGAATCCGAGGCGCTTTTATTTTTAGCCAACGCCGGTTCGCGCATCGCAAAAACCGGTTTCCGAGTCTCGGCTCCGAGGCTCCGAGCCACGAGGTAGTAAGGTGCGTATATACTCGAGAACGGTTCCAGCTGAATCGACGAGCAAGCGAGAGAGAGAGAGAGAGACACGAAACGATATAAAAGGTGTAGCATGCTTCCCTCTCCGTCGACGGTGAAGGAAAGAAAGAGTGACACGGAGCGTGGAATTCGCCTAAGCCGATACACACCTCTCCCTATTTCTTTTCTTTCTTCTCCCACCTCGAACTATCGATTGCGTGTATGCACGCGCCTGTCCATACACGACATCGTGTTACGTGACATTGTGCCGCGAGTGTGATGACATCCGATTATCTACTATGTCGAGCGAGATATGATTTGCCAGCATATAACGTACACGCGTACACGTTATAGGACATCGTAACAGTTTAGCGAAAGAGTGTGACACATTCGGTGTGAACGAAAGATTAAAAACGGAGGATTAAAAAAGGCAACGGGAGGAGAGCGATCAAAGAGAGGAGAGCAATCAAAAAGAAGGAAGTGGTTCTTTTTCATTGGATTGTTGCGTGGCAAACGAGATCGACGAAGACACGAGAACGGCATGAAGAATGGCAACCGATTCGAACAACCGTCAAGGTGTAAGGGCGGTCGCCACAACGACAACCGATCCGCAACGAAGCGAAAAACGCGCCGTCGCGGCGCGAGGCGCCGCCGGTGCTTTGGCCCTCAGTATTCTGGCCTTGGTCCTCCAATCGGCGACCACCGCGACCCCCACCTGGGGATATTTCACCAATCCTGACGGTGAGTCATGCTTTTGAAATTCTTTTCACCAGCACGCGCACTATTTCCTTGATTCGATGCTCGATGATGCGCGCTGTCCATTGTCCGCCGATTGCGCATGCTCGTAATAACGTTCTCGCGGTCAAATTGCCGACTCACGAGTTCACGGTTGCGATATCGATCGCTTATCGATTTCTTTCATTCGTCCGTGTCAAGTTCAAAATTCGGCAC